CATCTCTACCGCGAGTCTATTCTCTAATCTAATGCCAAATTTTCAGCCGCAGAAAAAAAACGACACTCTACCGCATGTTTCTAATCTATTGGAATAGATTTCTCAATAGATTCGAGCTCGATCTGGGTCTATTCGACCCCCCATTAGACCCAGATCGTGCTCTAATCTATTGCATAGAGGTGACACGAAAGGCCTCCGGATTGGCTACCGGCGTAGCTGTGCTTGCCAGATGAGTATTCCCGGGAAATTGAACTTCAATGCAAACCCAAACACCCCCAAATGGCATCGTCGCACAACGTTCCCCTCTCTCCGGTGCCTCTGCTCTGCTCTGTCTGCTCTGTCCGGTATGGGGCGCGGAAAGAACTGGGATGCGGAGGAGAATTGCGTTCTCGCTCGTGCATGGATTGCGGAGTTCGAAGACCCGATCGCTGGCACCGACCAGGCAAAGAAAAATCTTCCAAGACACTATCCGCCGCCGCTTTACGGAGAAAGGTCCCGCACTGCAACTCGTTCCGGACGGAAAATACGGTAACCGAAGCGGGGCGAGCATCAAGCAGCATTTCAGCGATATGTCAGCTGACGTCCAGAGGTTCTTCGTCTCCCTCGGCAAGGTTCGCGCTTGCAATCCCACTGGGGTTGGTGACGAAGAGGTGCTTTCAATATCAGTCGCAGTCCATCTGGAGCACACTAACAGGATGGAATACGACTACAATAACTTCGACAAAGATCAATGGCTCTACTACAAGGCTTGGAAAGTACTCCGTATCCATCCGAAGTGGTCCTGCGCACCTTCTTCAGCCAGCCCTATTACTGCGACGCAAGAACTGCTACCGGACATGAGCCAACTGGCTTCAAGCGGAGGGCATTCAACGCAAGATAGTGAAGCGCACGAGACCGTCACGCCCACGAAAAAGAAGGAGCGGTTCGATCTGGGCGCCCGTGGTGCTAAAATGGCACGTCAGGAGGAGTTGAGGACACAGGCGGTGCGCGTTCTTGCAGAGTCGGCGAAGCGGAAGTCGGACGTGCTCGAAGAGCGTAATGCGATTGCAGCATTTTCTCGACCAGAAGCTGCTAGCCTTCCCGAGACGGCACAGTTCTTCTCCGCGATCCGAGCAATTTATCTTGCGCAGGCGTTCAAGCGAGCCAAGGTCGCACAAGCGGAAGTTTGTGCATTGGAGCGGCAGTCGACAAATAATGCGAGCGACTTAAGAAGACCGTCACAGGCGCCACCCGGAGCCTCTACGCAGCGCGTTGACGTCCCTGTAGTACCAGAGCTTGCGACCACGCAGGGTGCAGCAGTGCTTCTCGAGGAGGCCTGAGGGGAAAGAACGTGCTGGGCGCTGCAAAAATCGTTTTGAATGGCAGTTCCTGGTGTAGTATAACACCCCCCAACGGAGAGGGGTGTATACTTAGCTCGATGTAGACCCGTACGAGGGGCGAGAAGACGGGGAGAACACACAGCTCACGGGACAGGGAAGCGAGCCCTGGTAGCGTGGTACAGCGGGACGGTCGGGGACGAGCGTACGCGCGGGCCGATCTACGCCTCCACGCCCCGGAGCAGCGCTGGTTAACGTACCAGCGCTGACGGGCGGAGGCGGATCTAGGCTCGCTCGCGTACGCGGCTGTCCCCTACCCGCTTTGTCCCGGTTAACGCGCGCGAAGGCGGATCGCGCTCGTCAGTTAAGCTGGAAGACGGACCTAGGCGGTAGGTCGTGGACAAGTCCGTGCTTGTCCACCTACCCCGCCGCCGGTCGCGCTCGTATTTAATGTATACAACGCGTCTATCATAATACTACAGTACTGGTATGCTGTAGTAACTTACTGTAGCGCGGGTCGTCCCGCGCTGTAATGCTGTCAGCCGTCGGGGCTGACAGCACACGTGTGAGACGCGTACTGTACGCGCGGTGGTACGCGCCTCCTACACGTGTACGCGTGTGGTCCCGCGTCCTTCGTACACGTGGGGGTACACGTGTGCGCCGGTGTGGTTCGTATTGATCTGATCTAAATCTAATCGCGAACCGCCGTTATGCCACACGGCCCCATCCTCAAGAGTGAACGTCCGCGTTCACCCTTGAGGAGTGAGAGAGCCATGTCCGACCCGGTCGCTTCCCGAGCCTTAGTCCTGTCCCCTCTTGATCCGGCGCTGTCTTCGGCGCCGTCCACCAATCGACCTTGCTCCCCTTACGTCCCCGCCGTACTCCGTGCCCCCTGGTTTTGCATCCTCATCCACCTCTCCTCACCCGCCGCCGCGGGTGTTCCCCGTCGTTGCCACTCACGCGCTGCTCACCGCGTCGTCGTCCTCATGTCGTCGCTTCCGGAGGCGCGTCCTTCGTCTGGGGGCCCTTCCGTCGGGCTCCCCGCGCTTCCGCCGTTCTCGGGGGCCTCCGTGCCCCCGCGTGCAGTACCTCCCCCGGGCTCTTCTGGGGACTCCGTCGCGCATCCTTCTCGCGCAGGGGGATTTGTCCCTCCCGCGGCGCCCGCGCTGCCACCCTTCCAGAAGAGTCGCGGCCCCTTGGGGTCCACCGGGAGTGTGGAATTTCGTCCCGCCTCGTCGGGGGCTGCGCTCCCCCAAGGGGCGACGTCGAACGCAGGAAGGTCGGGGAGGTTCCTCTTGACCACATGTCCGACGCGCCGCGTATGAGCGCGCCTTACCAGCCGCGCCCCGGGTCGTATGGGGCATGGGGGAGCTGCCGGCAGCCGGGCCTCCTGCCTCCGAAGACCCGAGGTAATCCCGACGCGGGGGCGGAGTTGGCCGCCGACACCATCCAGTGGTTTGGCACTGCCCTGGCCCGCTCGATGCCGCTGCCCGTGGAGCGGCTCAGGTTCCCGTGGCGTCGTTACGCCAGAACGGGGATCACCCTCGCGGAGTTGTTATCGCGTGACGTTTTGCGCCCTGACCTCATGCGCGTGCGTCGCATTTACGAGGCAGGTCGCGTGGACGAGGCCGGCCTCGTCCTTGCTAGGCTGACGGGCAAGGGCGGGGGAGTTCCATATCAAATCCCCGACGCGATCCCTTGCGACAGGACGTTCGCGTACAATTCCGGCGAAGTCATCTATGTCGACCGCATGGCCGAGCACCTGGTTAGTCGTTTGCCGGGCGCCCCGCGACGGTTCATCCTTTCCGAGGTTGAGGAGCTCTACCTGAGTCCCCGTCCTTATGCCTATTCGAAGGCTCGCGTGGCTCTCCAGAAATCGGCGAGCTCCCTCATGCGCCTCTACTCGGTCGCGGTGTCGCCCCACGATTGGGCGACCTACCGCCACTGCGAGGAGGATGACGGCCGCGTCTTCAGATCGGCGTCCTTCGAGCAAGGTATCACTCCGAGGGACTTCCCCGAGCTACCGGAAGCTGTGCGGGAGTCCCTTCCGTCTTTCGGAGTACACGCGTTGCTTCCGTATGCTTTAAAGCATTTTGGTTACGCTTGTGCGGACCCCGACCACCCGGCCGACGCCGAGCTTGTACACAACTTCGAACGTGAGTGGGCGTGGGCCCTGGGTAACGCGTTTATGGCCGAGGTCCACATCAACCGTCGCGTGTTTGTTCAGCCCACTGGGGTCCTCTCGTTGCTTGGAAGGGTTGCTTTCGACCTCCCCGTGGTACCACTCCACCCCCTGGAAGTGAACTCCAAACACGCGATGTGGGACCTCGCCTCTGTGCTAACCCTTATGCACCGCGCGTGTCAAGTCTCCGAGTGTACGCATCGCCCGTGGACCGACTACACCACGGGCGAGCGAGGCGCTTTCCTCCTGTACGACCTGCGGTCCGACGCGTTCGTCGCGAAGCCGGCCTCTCCCCAACTTTCACCGATTGCCACGGGGAGAGGGGCCGGTGTGGGCTCCGCCCGTCGCGAGGCTCAACGTAAACGACACCGAGAGGTGGACAGCGATGTCCCGGCCTTCGCGCCGTCGCGCATGATCAATTTCCAGTCGCCGGAGGCACCCGGTGTGTCTCCTCAATTTGCGTCGGGGGTTCCGCCTGTTCCCCCTCTGAGTTTGACGCGTCAAGACCCTACTCCCCC